TACAATGTATTCACATGTTGTCATGTCTCACACTGTCTCTATACAATGTATTAACATGTTTTCATGTCTCACACTCTCCCTATACAATGTATTAACATGTTGTCATGTCTCACACTCTCTCTGTACAATGTATTCATATATTGTCATGTCTCACAGTGTCTCTATACAATGTATTCACATGTTGTCATGTCTCACACTGTCCCTTTACAATGTATTCACATATTGTCATGTCTCACACTCTCCTTATACAATGTATTAACATATTGTCATGTCTCACACTCTCCCTATACAATGTATTAACATATTGTCATGTCTCACACTGTATCTATACAATGTATTAACATGTTGTCATGTCTGACACTGTCTCTATACAATGTATTAACATGTATTTTGTCATGTCTCACACTCTCCCTATACAATGCATTCACATGTTGTCATGTCTCACCCTCTCCCTATACAATGTATTAACATATTGTCATGTCTCACACTGTATCTATACAATGTATTAACATGTTGTCATGTCTCACACTCTCCCTATACAATGCATTCGCATGTTGTCATGTCTCACGTCCCTATACAATGTATGTACATGTTGTCATGTCTCACACTGTCTCTATACAATGTATTCACATGTTGTCATGTCTCACACTGTCCCTTTACAATGTATTCACATATTGTCATGTCTCACACTCTCCTTATACAATGTATTAACATATTGTCATGTCTCACACTCTCCCTATACAATGTATTCACTTGACATACTGTGCTTTCAAAATTGTATTTACATGTAGACATGTATTAGATACATTATATGGGGTACAGACATTTCGGTACCGAGGGATTTCTGCATGTACTTTTTATGATGTTTCCATACCTCCAAAAATTTGTTTAAAAATGTTTTCAAAACTTTCGGCACTTAGACTTTCATTTTGACTTTGTATTTTGTCATTTTTTGTATCATGTTTTTTGTTGATTTTACATTTTAAAATTCTTCTGCATTTTTCTTAATTTCACAAAAAAATTACCGAATCATCAATTTTTATGTATACTGAAACCAACTTTGATTCCAACATACATTGTATAACAATAACGGACAATTTGTTGTTTCCAAGACCTTAAACATCCCTGGTATGTTTGTGGCTTGTGAGCATCAAAGGAAGCAGATGACATAGTGTTACCCTGGTAATTGTACAATAGCAGAAGAGTTACAGGTATCCAAGATGACCTTAGATACCAGATACCTGTACCTGTTAACAATAGTATTCTCTATGCATGCGTTAAACAACATAAACCGAAGCATAAGGAATCAGTTCATGAATTCCATGTACTGTTTAAGTTATGTACTCAAGTCATTGTATTACTACATTCATGCTTTTGGGAAATAAAACTTGCATTAATTTTAAGGTAATAGCTAATCTACATCCATTTTATGGCCTTCCTTTGCAACTACAAGGTATAAAACAGCACTGTGCTCAAGAAAGTAAAAGTACATGTGATCTTTATCAAATTACCTATAAACCCTTAAAGCTATGCTTTTATCGGGCCATTTAGTCGTGGAAATGGCATATTATTCACGTGACAAACATTAGTTACTCTGTTGGCTGGTAAATACACTTCTGTAACTAATCTGTAACTTCTATCTATACACAACATAAAAGTCCATACTCTGAAGACATGTGTGCGATGAGTTTGAAAACAACATACATTGACAAAATTGTCAAAAAAAGAAACAAAAGTTTCATTTAGGCTCTGGCTGTTTGTATTATTTTCATGTATGGAAACCATAAAAATCAAGCTGCCTGCTGAATGTAAAATGTCTGTTTAGATATTGCTTCCAAGCTCTCACCGAACTAAACACTGCCCCACTTACTTGTAACAGCCCAACTGCACTCTTTGAAGTCTTTGAAGCTCTGGCTCTTATAATGAAACATGCCATTTCAATTTTGAAAGAAGACGCTCTTCATCCGTTCCACAGGATAAATGAGTTGTAAAATAATGTGACGACCACTCCAATTTGTACCCACTAATGTAAACAATATTGCTCCTTTTTTAACCATCCAAAATGATCTACCTTACCAGATGTATCTATAACTAATAAGGCATTTCAGGGATATGCTATATAATAACAGTGCTGAAAACAATAACTGATTGAATGTTTACAGTGACCAGCTCCTTTTCGATATACATTTACCAGTAAACTCATGCATAACAGATTAGGAAGGTGTCCAAGTTGCTTGTCCTCACACAAAGAAAGATAACTCTAAACAAGAGATCCCAGAGGGATCATGGCGCCCACCATCATACCATCTTCATTAGTTCTATGTCAGTTTGATATCTTTTTTCCCCTTATCTGTTTGGTTAGTTTGCCTGGCAGACATCTTGTTCTTCTGGTCAGTCTCAAAACTTAAATATGCACAACCACGGACCAAGGGGAACCTACATGTCAAATTTGAGAAAGATCCCTCCAGTACTTTCTTAGAAATAGCGATAACAAACTTAAACTGTAACAAGATGGCCACCTGTCCGCCATCTTAGTTTTCAGATCAGTCCAAAATTTGATATGCATAACTAAGAACCAAGAAGAACCTTCATGTGAATTGGGAACCAGAAGTACTGGAATCAGTTATACCACAGGGAATCAGTTAGACCACAGGGAATCAGTTAGACCACAGGGAATCAGTTAGACCACAGGGACTTGACATGTACAGTGTTAAGGGAATAAGACAGTACTGCCACTAGAGGGTGGAGAGGTACTGGAATCAGGGAGACCACAAGGACTTGACATGTACAGTGTTAAGGGTAGGAATAGGCCAGTACTGCCACTAGAGGATGCATGGTGAGGTAGTGGAATCTGCGAGAACACAGGGACTTGACATGTACATGTACAGTGTTAAGGAAATAGGCCATTACTGTCACTAGAGGATGGTGAGGTAGTGGAATCCGGTAGAACACAGGGACTTGACATGTACAGTGTTAAGGGTAGAAATAGGCCAGTACTGCCACTAGAGGATGCATGGTGAGGTAGTGGAATCTGCGAGAACACAGGGACTTGACATGTACATGTACAGTGCTAAGGAAATAGGCCATTACTGTCACTAGAGGATGGGGAGGTAGTGGAATCCGGTAGAACACAGGGACTTAACATGTACATGTACAGTGTTAAGGAAATAGGCAATTACTGTCACTAGAGGGTGGATAGGTACTGGAATCTACAGTGATAAGGGTAGGAATAGGCCAGTACTGATACTAGAGGGTAGAGAGGTACTGGAATCATGTAAAACACAGGGACTTGACATGTACAGTGTTAAGGGTAGGAATAGGCCAGTACTGCCACTAGAGGGTGGAGAGGTACCGGAATCAGGTAGACCACAGGGACTTGACATGTAGAATATTGAGGGTAAGAATAGGCCATTACTGACACTAGAGGGTGGAGAGGTACTGGAATCATGTAAAACACAGGGACTTGACATGTACAGTGTTAAGGGTAGGAATAGGCCAGTACTGCCACTAGAGGATGGTGAGGTAGTGGAATCCGTTAGAACACAGGGACTTGACATGTACATGTACAGTGTTAAGGGTAGGAATAGGCCAGTACTGCCACTAGAGGATGGTGAGGTAGTGGAATCCACTAGAACACAGGGACTTGACATGTACATGTACAGTGTTAAGGAAATAGGCCATTACTGTCACTAGAGGGTAGAGAGGTACCGAAATCCGGTAGACCACAGGGACTTGACATTTACAGTGTTAAGTATCTTATTGATCAGAATACTTATTAAACAGAGTTTAGATACAATGTTTTATCTTTCTTATTTTCCGCTGTCATGCGATGTCTTTAATTTCTGAGATAAACCATAAAGTTTAAAAATTTTAAGAATAACAACTTGGTACTTCTCAAGGCAAGGCTTCAAATAATTATTTCTTAAGTCTAATTGAACTTTAACATTAATGACTGAGGTCCAGTCAACAAGCAAAGTCGAACTCTTACTGATCATCGGTCAATCTACAAGCACTCTCTAATTCCATATATAAATCAAGTACATCTATCTTACTAACCAAGGGTCAATCACCGGGTACTGTTACTGACCGGAGTGCAATGCAATCACCGGGTACTGTTACTGCATGACCACAGGTCAATCACCGGGTACTGTTACTGACCAGGGGTCAATCACCGGGTACTCTTACTGACCACAGGTCAATCACTGGTTACTCTTAATGACCACGGGTCAATCACCGAGTACTGTTACTGACCACGGGTCATTCACCGGTTACTGTTACTGACCACAGGTCAATCACCGGGTACTGTTACTGACCACAGGTCAATCACTGGGTACTGTACATATTACTGACCACAGGTCAATCACTGGGGACTGTACATATTACTGACCACAGGTCAATCACCAGATTCTTTTACTGACCACAGGTCAATCACTGGGTATTGTTACTGGCCACAAATCAATCACCAGTAAAATTATAACCACGGGTTAATTGCCAAGTACTCTTACTGATCATAGGTCAATTACCCACCAATTACTCTTACTGATCATAGCTAGGTCAATTACACACCAATTACTCTTACTGATTATAGGTCAATTACCCACCAATTATTCTTACTGATCATAGGTCAATAACCCACCAATTACTCTTACAGATCATAGGTCAATTACCCAACAATTACTCTTACTGATCATAGCTAGGTCAATTACCCACCAATTAATCTTACTGATCATAGGTCAATTACCCACCAATTACTCTTACTGACTACAGGTCAATCAACAAGTAGTAACTTAATAAACACAAGTCAATCACCAAGCAACACTTTCTTTCTCAAGAGTCAACTGACAAGCACTACCTTTCTGACCACGCTTCAACCAACAAGCACCATCTTACTAACCACAAGTCAATCAATGCAACATGTACAAGCACTGTCTAACTGAGTGATGTCCAATCAACAAGGACAACATTAATGATAAGACTAACCTCAAATTGGGCCCAGTCCCAGGATGTGTTGAAGCGGTTTGGCCGCTGAAGGTGACCAAACTGAATGTCGTAGGTGGCGGTGTTGGCAGTGATTGAGGTGGGAAACTCAACCTTGAGGAACTTCCTGTTCTCATGCCAGGTTACCTGAGAACATTAGTTATATACAGGTGTTAAAATAGCAACATCCTTATCAGAAGTTCATCTGTAACTAATTAATTTGTATAGAGATAGTGTAAAACATGATGTTTGGTTCATCAAAATAGCAGTCTTAGAGTAAATCTGACTGAATGAATCACATTATAGGACCTAGGTACTAGGAGCTAGGACAAAGATAGATAACTCTTAGAATTGACAGAAGCCCAAGTTTAATCACAAGAACATCTTGATGAAATTTAGCAAGTTAGATTGAATTTAACCTACTGAATTTCATATTTGACATATTGAGTTATGACATTGTATCTGGTATGACGTACCTGGGTTTCACATTTGAGGTAGGGTGGGGATGAGATTGTGTGTGATATAACTTACCTGTGTTTCACATTTGAGGTAGGGAGTGATGAGATTGTGTGTGATATAACTTACCTGTGTTTCACATTTGAGGTAGGGAGTGATGAGATTGTGTGTGATATAACTTACCTGTGTTTCACATTTGAGGTAGGGGGGTGGGGATGATGAGATTGTGTGTGATATAACTTACCTGTGTTTCACATTTGAGGTAGGAAGTTATGAGATTGTGTGTGATATAACTTATCTGTGTTTCACATTTGAGGTAGGGAGTCATGAGAGTGTGTGTGATATAACTTACCTGTCTTTCACATTTGAGGTAGGGAGTGATGAGATTGTGTGTGATTTAACTTACCTGTGTTTCACATTTAAGTTAGGGAGTGATGAGATTGTGTATGATAACTTACCTGTGTTTCACATTTAAGGTAGGGAGTGATGAGATTGTGTGTGATATATCTTACCTGTGTTTCACATTTGAGGTAGGGAGTGATGGCATCCAGAACAATAATTTGTTTGAGGTAGCTGTTGTCACTGATTTTCAGGGAAAACTGGAAGAAGTAGATTGGCAGCAGTTTATTGACGAGAAAACCAAACTCAACATTGATGTAAATGAAAGTTAAAAATCTTAAACCTCATTTCAGTATAAACATCCTAAACCTTATACCTGCACTGTAAAATGAGAAATGTTCGACGCTTTTCATTATTTTTACACTTAAATAAGAAGGCAAATGCAGCATACAAATGTAAGGCAAATATCTGACAGATCAAGATACAGCTAGTAAATAAGTAAACAGAGGAGCAAAATCAGCATTAGGTAAACTCATTTTAAATAGCTAGAGAGTGGTGCAAATATATATACAGTTTACAAAATGTCCTTAAACCCTAAATGAGTTTGTTTCCCACATTAAAGACAAAAGGGTCTAAAAAAACTGAATTTTATGATAACTTTTGTATATCTGATATAAAAAGGAAACTCATTTAAAACCCTTTTTAAATTAACAAAGAATTTTACAAAAATGGATAGAGCCCAATTGAAATATTTCTTTAGTCAAATACTGTTCCTCAACATCAACAACTCGCTTTTAATGATGTCATTTCTATTGTTTATGTATATGTATTAACAATACTCCACGTAATATGAAGTAATAATGTTTATCCAGAAACTGCTCTAGTCCATCTTAAGGTAAAGGGTACCACTGCATCAGTTGTAATCACAGGGAAGAGTTCCACTCAGGGTTTATTTGACCTGGAGTACTCTCCCTTCTATATACAGCAGATGAAGCAATCAAAAGATATTTTCTGGCGTAGCATAACTTTCCCTGTCAACTTTTGTAAAGGCTTTGCATACCATAAGTTCGACATCCATTTTGATATCCTACTATCATAATCCCTAGATGACAAGACTGCTAAAGCATAGCCTTTACAAGGTAAAGGTCCTGAGTTCGACCCTTGCAGCTTTAATGGGTAATTTTCTTTTCCATTTAAATATTCAAATTTCAAACAACTGTTATCCTGTAAAATGCATGGTCACATGAGATTTTTATGGCATATATCTCCTGAAAAGGCTTTGAATAATTCACAGTATTGACAATGGCGATAGTATACCAGTAGTTCAGCTTGCTAGAACTTAACACAGAAATGGGAATTGTTTCTACTATTCAAACACCAGAAGACCTAACACCTACCTCTAGAGACACCCTGATAGGTCCATGGTCATTGATCTTCACACTTTCTATCACTTCTGTCACAGGCTTTCTGTCAAGGTCAAGTAAAAACAATTTATAACTGATGTATCTCTTAAATATGAAAATTAGATCTCTAACAAATGATTGAATCTCCTGGTAAATGGAGAAGTAGGACCAATGAGAAGTTTCTACATGACTTCTTAACATAATTTTCATATCTTATGAATTTAAACACATTTAATTAACTCATTCACCCCTGAAATTTCATAATCAACTATTCCAACCTTGAAGAGTGTAATTGTGTCTTCAGGGGAGAATGTGTCAAAGTAAATATTTAAACTGATTTTTAGGTATACTAGGTAAAGCGTCCAGGATTCTGAAGTTGTCAAGCACAATGCTTGTTATGTGTTTGGTAACTTAACAATCTTTCCCCAATAGTTGAGACCCCCCATCTCACCCCAAGGGAGTGAATGATACTTTCTATCTTACACTGTCATAATCAAGTTACAGGGTCAATGCATTGTCAGGGGCCTGAACTTGAAAGCAGCATTAGAAACTTAGCCTTTCCTTATTTAATACACCAATTACAACTCTGGTCCAACTGGTCCAACTGGTCCAATGCGATAAAAGACAGTAGCTCAGGGTAAGAGAAAGGAATATGTTTATCACACAACAACAACACAGACCCAGGTGCCTGTGGTGAGTCACACTAAATATCAGAAGGTAACACCAGAACATAATTGTATTATTGACAGAACAGCAACTCCTACTGCGTTAATTACTATTTTAATATTAAATATCTTAAACATTTTAGATTTAAGAGCTTTTTATAAAACAAGTATACTGTCAATCCTGTATTGACTTGAGGGAACAAATCTTTACAGACAAGTGGTCTTTAATGTATAAACAGGTCACAATAAAAATAAGGATAAGTTGGTTTATAAGCACTCACCTGGTCTCCAGGTGATAGTCCATCACATCCCAGGCATCCCAATATAGGGGCACATCATCATACATCACAAACTGGTTACCATGGTGACTTGCACTGATGGCATTTCTAAAAGAAAAAAAATCACTTATAAAACTTGAGGATAAAAAGTCACATTGCTTATTTGGGAAAAGTTTAAAATCCAATATTATGCTGAGGTTAAAGAATGGTGTATTCCTTTAATACTGCACTCAATCAGCAGAACACTTCAAAATAATTGGACATCTCTCACACGTGGTATTTCATTATACGGTCTTCAACATTTTTGTAACAACCTGATCTTGATCTTCCTTCCTTTATCTAGCTCTCACACGTGACCTGCACCTTCTTGTCTGTTCCTGAACTCTAATATCTGTCATTTGACCATGACCTCCTGGTATACTATTCACTACCATATGATCATGATCTATACATTTGTATGTGGTACACAAATCTCCATAAATGACCTTGACCTATATACTTGTACCTGGTTCTCAAGTCTCAAACATATGTCAACCCTGACCTATGTACTTGTACCTGCTTCTCATTTCTCTACCAAATGACCTTGACATATATACTTGTACCTGGTTCTCATTTCCTTGTACCTGGTTCTCAATTCTCTACCAAATGACCTTGACCTATATACTTGTACCTGGTTCTTATATCTCTACCATATGACCATGACCTATATACTTGTACCTTGTTCTCAATTCTCTACCAAATGACCTTGACCTTTAAACTTGTTCTTGGTACTCAAATCGCTATCACATGACCTTTACTTAAATATTTGTCCCTGGTACTCAAATAAACCAAATGACCTTGACCTATATACTTGATGTGTACCAGATTGTACTAACCTGCTTGTTCCTGGCACACTAAGCTCTATCACATGACCAGATGAGTTTATAACGGCAGTCAGGTATTGGTTCTCCAGCTGATAAAGATCTCCCTACAAAAACAAATTACAATTATAGTCAACAGATCATAGGTTCTCATACAGTACAATGTCATTAAATAGCATGAACACACACTTTTTCTGATGAAACTTTAAAAAAAAAAAAAAATAGAGAACAATTTAGAAATTTCATTTTTTTTCAAATTTTGTATTGACGATGTTCTGCATATATGTATCCCCTATATCTGTTTGTTAAGTGACACAATAATCTTGCTTTAATTTGCCAGATTATTCATAATAACTCTAGTCCCTGAAAGTATCACTTACATTTTGACAACCCTGACAATATCACTTACATTTTGACCACCCTATCAGTGTCATTTCCATGTTTCACAACCCTGACGATATCATTTACATTTTTGACAATCCTGAAAGTATCACTTACATTTTTGACAACCCTGACAATATCACTTACATTTGACAACCCTTTCAGTGTCACTTACATGTTTCACAACCCAGACAATATCACTTACATGTTTCACAACCCTGACAGTATCACTTACATTTTTGACAACCCTGACAGTATCACTTACATGTTTGACAACCCTGACAGGGAACTGACACTCCTGTGGTGATAGACCTGTATAGCCACAGCTGGGTACCAACACAATAGCTGTAACACACAAGGACATAAATACTGCAGCAGCATACAGTGAGGTTGATTTTTTATACAAACAAAAACTCTTCATAGACAGATCTTTTTTAAGACAACACGTTTGTTTTGTTGTTTTGTTTATCACATGAAGATGTCATTTTTCTTTCTTTATTGACTTGTGTGTGTGTGTGTGTGGTAGGGGGCAATATTTTGAAGGATTTTGACAGAAAGCTCTTCCTCAACTTACCCAGATTGTTACTGTAGACATCTAATTGTAGCAATTCATTATGAAGCTTCTGTTTTTTGGACGAACTCTCTGGGTTTTCCTTACTCTCCAACTCATCTCTTGGGACACTGATCACATCTGACCGCTCCCAGCTGAGTGTGTTGACCACTAGTGGACCGAGGTCAGACTGACTAGTAGTAAGATGGGTAAAAGCATTGTTCCACAGTGCCTGCCCAGACTTCTGTATATCTGAAAGAATCCATGTTGTCAATAAATGTCAATTAAATAGAAGCAGAGGTCCAAAGGGCCCATATCACCCATCTGATATATAATGGTGTTAGCAAAATGTATCTGTGACTAATCAAGTAATGTCAACAAATTTAGAGGCTGTTGTGGCCATATTTAATTATGAAATTTTATCTGGCAATAATTAACTTGAAAAGTTATACAGACCTAACATATTTTCTGTATAGTCACTTTGTAGGTTAGAAGATATTTTTTAAAGTTCTGAACACATCTGACATATTATGACTACAGGCGTTTTTTTAAAGCTTTTAACATATTGGACCCCTATGATCTCCAATATGGGTCAAGGTTATCTATTTGAACAGCCCTTCACAGCCTAACAAGCTACAGGCTATATATCTTTACATATCACTATTATAATTATGATGTGCTTTGGAGGAGTTACCTCCCCTTTGTGTATCTATCATGTAAATGTCTTTAATATATGTAAACAATGTGTTCACCACCAGATGTAGCTGTAAGGAGAGAGCTTATATAGGCAATGCCTGATGTCCAATCCTGATGACTTTTTTTGTCAATAAAATATGTTGAAATTGAAAAAAAGTCATTTCATTTGAAAATTTAAACGAAGTACATGTATAGACCCCTGTGATCTTGAATATTGATCTACAGATCATTTATATGAGCTAGGTTAAAACTCCCTCATCCCAGCAAGCTACAGGCTGATTTTTGTATGTAATCATCCTTTTGAAGATTAGTGTACTTTGTATACATTTAATTGATGAATTATCTAAAGGTGTTATATACAATGATCTGGATGATCCAGGAACTCACCTTTATAATGAATATTTGAATCCTTGTATACCTTGATAAAAAATAAACGCTTAACATTAAATTGTTGCAAATAGAAACAGATATCTTAAATGTCAAGAAAACAAAATGAAAGTAAATGACCCCTTCACCATGCTCACCGGACCTCATTGAATTAGATATTCCCAATATAACTGTGTGCCAGGAAATTTTGCCCTTCATTTATAAAATTTATATTTGGCCAGTATTAATTTGCCCTTCACATTTAATTACTATGTACATTTTGTTGATTACTAACTTTTCTAAAATGATACTTTTGCCTCATTACAGAGGGTAAAAGTAAAACTGAGGTTAAAATTTCCAGTAAAAAGTTGTAGTCCTATCCTCTAGGCAATCCCTGCCATAGATATTTAATAGGAGACCAGTTGTACAGACACCACTAGATCAATTATTTAATAATTAAAAAAGAACACAAATATAGATATATATGTATACTGTATGATAGTTGATTTAACTAGTAGCAAGTTAGCATACCAGCCATATATTATCATATGACAATGCTGGAGTTGACCTAACTAATTAGCATACCAGTTCGATAGATGACCCAGGAAGTACATCATGGAATTGGTTGAGCAGCAAGAGTTTCCAGAGTCTGAGAAGTTCTTCTGCTTGGTAGTCATACACTTTCTCAGGACCAACAGCCAGTGCCAGGCAGCTCAGTAACTCAACATCATGGAGCAAAATCTCACATCTACGGTTTAATTCTTTAATCTGAAAATGACATGCTTCATTGATAGACTAAATTGTGATTTCATTAAACAAGAGGCCCATGGGCCTAAACGGTCACCTGAGTCCTACAGTATTTATTTTTGTTGTTGAAATATGTACCAATTTGAGTACAAAATAGTTAACTGAAGTTTGTCAGGACCCTGAGCTGATCATTCCTAGACCGCGTTTCAGTTAAATCGGCCTATTAGATCTTGTTTTTAAGTTTAAATACTTTTTTCAAAATGGCGGCCGTGGCGGCCACATTGAATTTCTGATCGACCCTAAAAATAACATCACTTTTGTCAGGACCATGAGTCGATCATTCCTACAAAGTTTCAGTTCAATCGGCCCAGTAGAACTTGACTTTAACTCTTTCAGGCCTGGCGGCCATCTTGGATGCAATCCCTAAGCATCCCTTTGAGCCAGACTCCCTAAGCCATATGATCAGCTTCCCTAGTGATACAGCAGCAAAATATTTAACACCTACAACTAAAATCATCATAACATGCTAAATAATAAACATAAACTTACCATATTTGAAACACACAGTGTTGAATAAGTGTTCTATCACTTTAGGTAATTTTGTGTACTCCAGAAAAAATACTTACTTTAAAAAAAGCAAAGTAAACACTTTGAAAATTTTCCAAAAAAAAAGTAATTTGCTACACTACACAACAGTATATGTACACAGTATCAGTACTTTTCCTCTGATTTTATTACTGGAACAAGTTTGGGAAATTAGCCCGATGGTAAGGCTTGACACAGGCAACACACAAATTGACATTACAATGCATGTTCACATCCAGATGTTGGTTCTCTCCGGACGCCCTGTTTAGAACACTGTTTGCATGTCTTCTTCTTCGCCAGGATGGTCGGCCAGTGAATCAGTCCTTCTGTAGCTTTATTTTGAACACTCTCCCTTTTTCTTTTTAGCCAATAACCAACCTCCCATTAGTTGTTTTGCCAGGTTTTTTCTAAAGTCTAGTTGTGTTCTTGGTTTTGCTCTCCCAGTTTTGGTTTTAAGTTGGTGGGTTGGAGATTCCTTCATCATGATGAACCCGTTGATGATGGAGATGTCAACCAGAAACTAAAACAGATACTTCCACCACCTCGCTGCTTTCCGTGAGATGGAGTAGGCAGAGCGAAGCTGGTCTGCTCTGTCAACACCATTCATGAAGCTTGTGTAGTTCCTCAATGCTTTTGGGCAGGAACCATGTCTAACAGTCCCATCTTTTTTCTTTCTCTGGACCGTGTCCATCTCAAGTGGGCTGTCACATGTTGACAATATGTGAACAGTTCTTTTGTCATGCCATGCCACAGCAACCATCTGTCCCTTCTGCTGCATGATGAGATTCCCTTGGTTTTTAAGCTTAGCTTGTGATATAGCCTTGGGAATGTGCTTCCTGTTTGTTCGAAATGTTCCGCAGGCGTATGTTTTTTCGCGGAGAAGTTCTTCGAACAAAGGGACAGAGCTGAAATAGTTATCACAATATACTTTGTGATACTTCCCCCAGATATCTTGAGTCAGCTCTCTCACAACACGTTCTCCTAGTCCAACTTCTGGTGCATTTCCAACTTTCCCTGAGAAGACTTGGAAGTCGTTGACAAATCCATTGTGTGGATCAGCCCTGACCCACACTTTGATGCCGCGTTTCGTTGGCTTCATTGGGACATATTGTTTGAATCCCAGGCGACCTGTGTAAGCTATCATTTGCTCATCAATTGAGGTTTCGCAGTGAGGCAAATAAATGGACTTACATTTTTGTCTAATGTCCTCTAAAATTGGTCTGATGTGTGCCAATTTGTCAAATCAAGGTTTGCCTCTTGGTGGATTGTTTGTGTTGTCACACACATGAAAGTATTGACAAAGTTTGTCAAATCTATCCCTTGTTATGCGTTCAGAAATCCCTGTTGATTTAAAAAATGCATCAGATGTGAAGTAGAGATCCTGATTTGGAGCTACTATGATTGCCATTGTGATGTTGAAGGCAAAAAAAGCTCGAATTTCCTCTGCATTTGTTGGGTTCCATTTTGGGTCAGCGCCATTTTCCCTGATTTTTTCTCTGGCGTACCGGTTTGTCTTGGTCGCTATTTTCCCGTACCAATCAGTGGGGAAAACTTTGTTAAAAAAATCTATTTCTTTAGCAGTGTTAGGAAACCTTGTAACTGCTCCAGTAGTTTCTGTAAATTCTTCCGTTTCTACAGCAGAAAGATTGGCAGTCCACGAGGGCATATCATCGTCAGCGTCAGAATCTTCGCCATTGTTTACATCTAAACGAGCCCTATGTCGCGCGAGAAATGCCAGTGGTATATCTTCATCACTGTCGGTATCGTCATCAAATTCGCTCACTTCAATGTCAGAATCCCTGTTTAATAATCGCTGTAAAGTTTCATCCGATCGTGCAATATCTTCCGCATTAAAACCATCAAATTCAAAGTCGCTATCGTCACTAGAATCCATCGTGGTTGTAATGTTTACATTCGCATTCTATGTGTTTGATTTACGCGCTCAAACATGATATACATCTCATATTAACCAATGAAAAGATGTTTCTTTGTTAGAAAT